TACTTCCTATGAAACATGTATACTTCCTAACAAATCCCCCGATGGAATGCAGCACATGACCCAGCGACAGCGGCCCGTCTTTTCAACCCACCTGACCTAAGTAGACGACAGTCTCATTCCACGCCTGTCTCAGCTCGGGGTACACGTTGTCCAAGTACCAGTCAAAGTTCTCACACCTCAGCATCGTCCTCAGCTTCACCCTGTCGCTGACATCTCCGTAGTCGGTCTGCGGGTGAGAAGGAACACGCCTATGGTTTCAAATCATACATGATACATCCTCGATTATATATCATTGAACAGCTCTGCACTTATTTCCTAAACATGGATTAGCCCTACATGGAGGATGTGAAACCGAACGGCTTAACACAACGTTAAAGAAATCGCAAAAAATGATAATTTACGAGGTAGGTATGTACGGCAGACGCGCGGAGTGGAACTCCCAGAAGTTGGCACTAATCTGGATTCTTATAAAACGCGCTACGGGAAATGCATGTTTTGTCAAGTAATTTTTAGTACATAGGAAGTTCAAGCACAGCCACCGCCGCCATTGTTTGGTGGGGCTATTTCTGGTCTTTTTTGTAATTCCCAAATGTCTCCATACATTATTTATTGAATCACTCATGCTTAATTTATACGAGTCATATTTCAAATGGACGCAACGATGCACTTCACGTTTACATTAATTTTATTTTTCGATAGATGCAATATGTCCATAACGTGTTAAGGGTCATTTTCTGTTCATATTCGAATCATCTTCTTCACGTTTTCGAATAATTTTCTGTTATGCACACTGTTATGTAGCACGATTTCCTGTGCGTGAACTTTCCTCGACCTCGTAGTACACGCCTAGCAGACAGTAAGGTCTGTTTTGGGCGTGGCTAAATCTCTTTGAAGTAGCTTGTTTACAATCGGCTTCCAATTACCCATTGGGCAGAATGTCACCTGGTAACTTCTCGAATGTACTCCTTAACCCGAGATATGTAAACAACACGTCATAGGTCCTTCTAGAAGCGTCTTACACTACATGTATATAAAGGATTGACAGATACGAAGGGACGGAGATTTTTCAGATAGATTTTCTTAACATTACGAGGCGTGTTTTATTCCTTGTGTATTTGTGTGCTCATATGTGTTTATTTCGCATTATTTATTGGCACATTATTCTAACTGTGTTAACTGTGTACCGGTACAAGATTTACCATACTGTAAGTTGAAGATTGTAATTATATTTTCTTTTCTTTTGTAATTATCTTTAGACTTAATAAATCTTAATTAATTGTAACTAGAAACTGTTTTGGGTAGTATCTTTAATATTGTTGATTCTATGGTATCGTCCTTTGTTAGGCACTGTTGACAACGAGCCAATTAAAATTAAAATAGGAGATTAATTTCTCCCAATACAAGTCAGTGCGTAACACACACCAAAAGTGAAACGAGTCCCCTTCTCATTGGCGTTTTTATCCCCTTAAAAACACACACACATAGAGGCATCTAGACACGTCACGTGACTTTAAGAAGTACCCCCATCACTTCAATGCAATTGAAAAGGCGGTCTTTATACGTTAAACTATTTATTCATTTATGTGCTGAAAATGGACGTGCAAATAGCATGAATACAAGCGCTATATAAGTATTCAAATGCAATTTTAAAAAAATTGTAATACAAATTTAAAAAAAAACATTTCCATTTATTTGCACCAATAAAAGAATCTTATATTTTCCTATTTTATCTTCTCTTGTCTAATATAATTATGTAGCATGAGTTATCACAAGTTTAGGCCCTTAAAATATCCGAGGCCCCTTTAAGCAACTGGCGTTGCATGGCGTCACAGTTTTGGCGGCTGGTCAGTTAAGCTCTGTGGTCAAAACGTACTATTTGTTGTTGTTTTTTTTAAAAAAAGGTAACCCACCGTCTAAGTTATTACCTACAATGTTGTAAGCCCACTGCTCGTAGAAGTAGTGCTTGTATTCGTCCAGCCAGACCTCGGCCACCCGGAAGTGGTTGTTGATGACCTCGGAGTAATCCGAAATGTAAGGGTTGTCCTTCCTGAAGACGTGGCCCACGTGTGAGCACGCGACAAGGACGATGGAGCCCCCGCACATCCACGCCTGCGTGGGAGAATCGTTGTGTCAAAGAGTGTGGTGGCAGTGGAGCTGTTTACATTAATTGAATGTTTCTTTTTCTTTCTTTCTTCTTTTTCTTTCTTTGTTTGAACCGAGGAGGGTTATAGCAACTATTTTGGCCTTTTATGTTTATTTCCAGATTCTTCTAGGCTTTATTCCTTCACACTTTTTGTAGTACTTATTTTCAAAAATTCTTACTTTAATATTTTGTATTAAGGGCTCATTCGTAAATTACGTCACGCTAAAGATGAGCTTTTTCAGACCCCCCCCCCCTTGCCCTGTCACCAAGTGTCAAACCCCCATCGCCCTGTCACCAAGTGTCACACCCTCCTCACCCTGTTTTCAGCCCCCCCCCCCCTTGCCCTGTCACCAAGTGTCAACCCCCCATCGCCCTGTCACCAAGTGTCACACCCTCCTCACCCTGTCACCAAATGTCACCCCCCTCGCCCTGATACCAAGTGTCACACCCCCTCGCCCTGTCACCAAATGTCACCCCCTCGCTCTGTCACCAAGTGTCACACCACCCTCGCCCTGTCACCAAATGTCACAAAATGTTTACCCTCATCCCCTTAGTGTCAAGTCACACATATAAAAAAGATACATACAATTTTCATAGCTAAACTAAGATTTTATTTTAATCATTATGCGTGGAAGGTGGGCGTGACTGAGTCTCACGTTACCTATAATACATGATGCGATTTCGACCACAAATTAATGTTTTTAAAATTTATTGAGTAAAAATTTATAAAAATTGGAAAATTTTAAATTTAAAAAAAAAAAATGTTTGTACCGTCACAAATTTTTTCCCCCCCCCCCCCCCCCCGCCCGGTCACAAAGTGTCACGAATTCTCAACTTCCCCCCTCCCAATTGTGACGTATTTGACGAACGATCAGACCCCTAAACTCCTTTTTTCTTTCTCCCTTAACTCGGGTAATTAATAATTTTTTTTTTTTTAAATTAATTTTGTTCCGTCATCGCTTTCTTTCTGTCTTTTCACTCATTCCATTTCATTTCTTTTCATTATTTTTGTTTCCTATTCCCCATGTATCTCGTAACACGTCGAGATACTCGTCGCCCAGGTGGAGCTGACCATGACTTACCTTCAAGGAAATCTCCACGTTCTCCCCACCCCACAGCACCAGCCCTGGATCGTACTTGCCCAAAAGCGTGAAGAATTCTCGTGACACAGCGAACAGACCGCCTGGCATTGTCGGTGAGCTGCCAATACGAAATTTTCATCCGGAGGTCGATCGTATGCAATGTTTAAGAATGTTTATTTTATTTTGCTAACACTTGATTTCTTAAGGTTATAGAATATATATTTTTAAGAAATGAAAGTTATGTAACAGATCAAAAGGTCAAGGACACGAGGCAAAATCTTGAAATTTGTTGTGTAAAGGATACTGAAAGAGCATCCAACAAAACACATCTCGATACATATCAGTAACATCCTCTAGATAAGCGGTTCTCAACCTGTGGATCGCGACCTTTTTTGGGGTCGAACGAACCTTACACCAGAGTCGCCTACGACCATAGGAAAACATATTTATGAAGTAGAAAGGAAAATAATTTATTGTTTGGTGGGTTTGGGGGGGGGGTTCACCACAGCATGATGAACTGTATTAAAGGGTCGTGGCACTAGGAAGTTTGAAAACCACTGATTTAGAGTTATATTTTTAAAAATTAAAATGTTTTGAAATCTTTTTTTTTTAAAACTGAATATGATTCTGTGTGTGTATTTCCTTATATATGAGAAAACTGTTTTTTCCCCTGAAAAATCTGTTAGTTTCTGTGAATTTCTGTGTAGGTTTCTGTGTACTCTCTTAACAGTACTCTCCAGATAATAATAATAATAATAACATATTTTAACAAATGAAACCTACACAACTTCCCTGTTGGTCAGACTAAGGGTCAAGTTCCTTCCGTAAAGCCAGTCAAAGGTTAAAAACTTGAAGTTCAGCCCGCCGACGAGGACATCCTTTCTCATATCGACCTGGAAAGTTTTCGTTCTGATGGAGTCCACCATGGGGAATGTCACGGTCCCCAGGTCTTTCACAATGGGTGATATGAGGGGCTCTAGCCAACCTTCGGAATGCAAGAAACAGACATTTAGGGTATGAAATGCTTCACAGTCCCCGGGTCTTTTGCAATGGGTGATAAGGGAGACTCAATAAAACCTTCGGTATGCCAGAAGGAGACATTTAAGGGTAAAAGACCATTTCAAATATCTTACAGAGCAATTCTTACGGTGCAAGGCGCAAGAAAAAAGCGAATTTCTCAAATATTCATTACATTTGGAACATGCATACATGGCTACATAAACTACACACAACACCATGATTTGGATCTATTGTCAGGACAGAGGCAGTGTGGACACAAAAGCGGGGATCTATTGTCACGACACATGAAGTGTAGACATAATAGCAGGTATCTATTGTCACGACACATGAAGTGCAGACCCAATAGCAGGGATCTATTGTCACGACACAGGAATTGTGGACACAATAGCAGTGATCTATTGTCACGACACATGAAGTGTTGACACAATAGCAGGGATCTATTGTCACGACACAAAGTGTGGACGCAATAGCATGGATCTATTGTCACGACAGAGGCAGTGTATACACTTCTGTGCACGAGATGTCATCAGATGGCAGACACCAGACATCAGACGCCAGCTGTTCTCCAACATGGCCAGTTTTCTAAATAAGACCCCCACCCCTTTTACACACACACACTTTTTAACATTTATAGCAGATCATTTTCCTTTCACGAAAATTTCGTAAAACAACGTTATAAGAATGTGTCTTTTTCTTGGGTCTAGTACCGAGAGAGTCAACTTGTATTATATTTTTGGTGATTCAAAATAGATACAGCAAGATAATGTGATTGGAAGTGGAAAAAAGAAAAACAACCTCCAAGAAATGTAAAGTTTAAACATTTTGTCATAAATCAGCAAACTAGTTCGTGTTTTTTCATGGCGGATCCTTGGTGTAGTAATGCGATGTTATTTGGCATAAGTGTTGAGATGTCAGTAAATATAAAGGATGTTGGACAGTTTTAAAAACATTTTTTTTATAGATTTGTTCTTGAGATCGTGTGAGGTGGAAGAAAGGTATTTCTGGACATTGAAAACCATTTGATCCGGAGATCCGGTCTCTCGAAGGAAAGTGTCTGGGATGTGAAATTGTTTAACGACACGGCACAGTGTTATTTTTTATTATTTTTTTCGTCTCTGCGGGAATTTACCGAGACGCAACTTGCAAAACGATAGTCAAAAGACGGACGCCCAACTGTGCAGCCCTACAATGGGACGAACGGCGCTGCCAATGAACACCCATTAGACATGTGCCTGCTCTTCTTCAAAGGATATAACCGTTAATGTCAATTTTCCTAGTCTGCACTTATGTTGCCAACTTGACGGCCCGTAAGATTAAAAAACACCGTTTTGTTAATAAGTAATTTGAATATTTCTGTTTCACATTGTCGATCAATTGTTTCACTCTGTATTGACATTTGGGTTACATATTTGGGTCAAAATGTCTGCCTTGCTACACTCGTGAATTAGGTATGTGGGGGAACGATGGTGTGCAACCAGGGCCGTACGTTAGTGGAGTGCAACCAGGATCGTAGTTTGGGGGAGTGCAACCAGGGCTGTAGGTGACATTTTTTTACATGGGGGTCCAAACTTGGCCATCCTTTGATCCCTCATTGGATTTTGGATCATTTATACAAGTATATTCATTCCAGCATGAGGGTGGGGTTCAGACACTGGACAACCTGGCCAGCTACGACCCTGACTGAGTGCAGCTGTGTTCCTCTTACCTGGGAAACACTCGATATGTGAGTCAAGGAAAACGACATATTTTCCCTGGGAAAGATCAAAGGCTGCGTTCCTCGCCCTGATTAGCCCAAGACGTTTTTTGGCCCTGTAAAGTTTGACCTTTTGGAGAGGCTGGACGTACGCCTCCAACGGTTCCTTTAGGTGATCTGCGGTGCATTAAGAATAGTTAATTTTATACACGCACTTAAAATATATATATATATATATGTAAAAAGCATTTTGCACTCATCCCATCACCTCGAATGCGTTACATCGATGACATTTTAAATTAAAAATGGTCATAATGATGAGCACAATTTATATTTAACAATATATATATTTTTTTAATTTATGTGAAAGATCAAAACCATCCCTCAAAATAGACTAAGTAAAACGTGTCTGCCCCATAATGGCATTAGAATGTTTCAAATCTTAGTTTTAATTGGGTTTTATTTTGTTTTACAGCATTATGTGTTGTCTGTTGGTCTAGCACACATAAGACAGTAATGCAATCATTATTTAATTTAAAAAAAAAAAATGTTAAAGAAATACTTTCTATCAAAGACGAATTAAAAAATAGATGCATTTCGAAAGATGCATTATAAAGTATTTACTTTTTAATAACATCAGCTGCTTGCGAAATCCCGGTAAAAGAGACTTAACTCTTTACCCCGGGCATAAAAGTAAAGTAGATCTGAGCTCGAAATATGATCAAGAACTCTGTCTGGTCTAGACTGAAAGATGTATCGCCTTACTGTGTACAGCTCAAGTGTATTTGTCATTCGCTTGCACTTTGCATTTATCATGCGGTAACCAAGCTACCATCAAGTATTGGATTTTTGCTCTCAGAAATACCTCAATGGTTTCGCCATAGTGATTTAAGACGGGAAGCATACAAAGAATTGTTTAGAGTTATGAACACACCTACGGAATTTGAGTCAACCCGAACTGCTCCACTTCCCTTTGAAAAACCTTCATCTACTCGATGGCTTGTACGTGGGAAGGTTATGATTAACATTTTGATGAATTGGGAAGAACTGAAGGTTTATTTCACTAGTGCTGAATTAGCTCAATCAAACTTTGACACAAAATACAAAGCAAGATTGTTAAAGGAAATGATGTTAGACTACAAAAATTATTTGTTCTTTGTCTTTGCAACACCTGTTGTGCACGAATTTGAAAGACTAAACAGTCTTTTTCAACAAACCAAAGCTGATCCTCATAAATTGTATCAAGAATTATTCTTACACCAGAAAAGTCTTCAGAACAGACTGTCTGATGTTAATGGGCAGAAAATGCAAATTCGTGAGATTGATTTTGGTATTAAATTCTTAACAGAATGTAATAGGTTCCTTCAAAAAAACCAACAGTATTGAGGCTCAGCTGGAAATAAACAATTTCAAAGAAAGATGTATATCTATGTTAGAAGAAGCTCTAAATCAAATTACATGTAGACTTCCATCAGCAAAAGATGTATTTCAAAAGCTATCAAAATTGAGTCCTATGATAATTTTAAATCAAGTTTCAAGGACCGCATTTTCAGAATTACCTTTTATATACCTTGCTGAAAACAACATCAGTATCATTGAAGAACAATACAGAAAAATACTTTTTGTTGATTGGAAAGGAGAACCTGCATTTAAGAAAGATGGAGTTCCAAAAGACAGTGAAAAGTTTTGGATTGGCGTGCTGCAACATCAGGCATTTAAAGAGCTCGCCTCTTATGCCCTTACTTGTTTGGTAACCCCAGTTAGTAATGCAGTAGTTTAGAGGATATTCTCTCTTGTCACCACAGTAAAAACGAAGGCATGAAACAGAATGCAACTGAATTTACTTGATGCTATTGTAAGAATCAGGGCTGAACTATTGCTGTCAGGCAAATGCTGTAATGACTTCTCTCCATCGGAAAAAAATGCTAAAAGCTTTTACAACCGACAATGTTTATGGCATTAGGATCCGCTAGTTACAGATCTTCCAGTGAGGATGAGAGTAATGAATATGATTTAGAGCTTTTTTTGTAATGTGAGTATGCAATATATTTTCAAATTTATTTGGCTTTTTTTTGGGCTCTTTTCTAATACCATCTGGCTTAAAATCGAAATTTTAACCTGGCAACCCTGCTTCGAATTCCCTTATTCTTTTCCAGCCTTTCACCGGGTGAACACTGGCACGAGAAAGTCTTAAACTGCCATGCCTGTAAACTAACAAATTACGCTCCAAAAAAAATGGAAATTCGAGAAGAGAGACAGTCTTTAACCAGTGGAAAGAAGAGTTCCCCTAATGTTGTGCTATATTCGAACAGTTGCGAACATTCATTAAATAAACGAACCTGGTTACCTAATTAAACTCGTCGACCAACTGACCTAGATCCGAGAAATCGTCCAAGAGAATGATTTCTTCCAGAAGGTGCGGCGGTGACCTGTCGATCACGCTGTGTATGGACCTCAGGAGAGTGGTCCAGGCCTCGTTGTAGAAGACGATAAGGACTGAGACCGAAGGCATGACAGGGTAATTCGTTTCCTTACAGCTGTGAGATGAATGAAGCGTTGCAAGGGGATGGGGGAAGGGTCTATAAATTAAATAGAACTTGGATGGTAAATACTATTTTGGGGATGTATGGCAACGAATAGGACACTATTTGGGATCTAAGTCGAATTGTTAGCTTTAAAAAACTAATAGAAGAACAAAAATGAAAAAAAAAATAAATAAAAAAGTATTGAAATCTTCATTCTATGGGAGAGATTTGTATTTTTCGGTTTTCTGGAAAAATCTTGCTTTGAGGTTTAAAAAAAAAATAATAAAATAATTAACTGATTTTAATTTACTTCAACTGTAAAATGGCCGCGGTGTGTCAGTGGGATATTTTGGGGTATAATAATATTTCATAAGTGACTCGGATGCAGTAGTATCCCTAGGCAATGAATAGGGTGAGGGTGGACAGTAGTGATTTACCCATTCCCAAATTAACAGAGTTCGCCCGAGACTGTTTCTTGTAACCGAGCAGGATGCCACACGGCAATAGAGTGCCCCCAGAACAGGCTGCATCATATCAAGTTGACTACAAAGCAGAGTTACACCAGAGCAGGGTTCCATCTGAGAAGGGTTTCTGCAGAGCAAGGCTCCATCAGAGCAGGTTTCCACCAGAGTAGGGTTTCATCTGAGAAGGGTTTCTGCAGAGCAAGGCTCCCATCAGAGCAGGTTTCCACCAGAGCAGGGTTTCATCAGACAACAACCCAAAGTGACATGTTCAATGGATGACAACAAGCCAAAGTGATATTGTTTGACAGGGTGACAACAACCCAAAGTGACACGTTTCAATGGGTGACAACAACCCAAAGCGGCATTGTTTGACAGGGTGACAACGACCATAACGTGACACGCTTGACAGGGTGGCGTTCAATTCTGATCATCGGTGAGTTGTCTAGGGCCGCCACGTCTGTCTCAGGTATCGGCTAATCACGGAACATAAACTTGAGAGGCTGCCTTAAAAAAGGAGTCTCCTTGGTTTAATCACAATTTCTAATGTAAAATTCTTCTTGTCTTTCATGGAAGGTTGAAGTGCTGCATTTTAAAAGAAAACCTTTGTTGAATTATATAATACCATATTACGCCGTATAACAAAGTAACACATCAGTTGAAACCCCTTAAAAGATGCTTTAACAATATATATATGTATATATATATATATATATATATATTTAATGGATAATTTTAAACACAAATAACATTCTTTCGGTTGAGCAGCCGTCAGCTAAGGCCGAGGCGCCATCTGAATGGATCACTGATCAATCAGGCAATGTGGCCGCGCGTTTAACGGCAATCTTATTGGGTGGGGTGGGTGGGGGGGTGGGGGTGGGGGTGGGTCGGAAACAGGGATGGGTGAGATGGAGAGGATTGAGTAAAAAAAAAACCACAACACAACACAACTGAGAGGAATTATTTTTTAAAATTTTTTTTTGTGTGTTGAAGAAACGAGGGAACACGCCTATGGTAAATCCCATTTTGACTTCGTTTCTAACTCTGTAACGTCATATCTCGAAATAGGTCAGTTCAATACTCCACACACACCCACGCAAATAATAATAACATGAAAATAATGACTAAATCAGATTGACTATAATAAGGTGACATGGGCAAGTTGTGAACAGAAGAAAAACAAACATCATATGCGATATTCGGCTGAATAGACGCTTGGTTACCCCCCGACCTTTGAACCTTTTATCATTTACAGAATTATTTGCAAACCCGTACGAAGGTTCCTTTTTTTTTTCCCCATCGTCCGAAGGAATGCACTACGTCACTTACAAAGATGGCCGGTCATCAAGGAGTGACCTGTGAAGGGCGATGCGCCTGCTGGTCAAATCGTCAAACCCGTAGAGTCGCCAGGCCTCACTCCTGGCTGTGTCCGTAGAGTTGACGCGTAACTCCTTGCCCAGTTCACCTGCAAGTTATTTTTTTTTTTTTTATGTGTAAATATTTCTAGACGGCTATCTCGCATGTGGCCGTCGTTAGGAACCTATACTGAAAAGGTGGACGTTGGTTGTAAGTGCCGAGAAGACTTTATACTCTTTGTTTACAAATGAGAGGTATGCCCTCAAATAAATAAAAAACAAAAAACATCTCTTTACATCTCTTGCGGGGAAAAAGGCTAAAGTGGGACAGGATATCTACTTATATGGGGTGGGGAGGGGGGTTAAGCCTGACCCCAAAAATTCAGCTCCACAGCCATATTCTTGAACTCGCCGCTCATGCCCAGTCAAAATTACGTCTTGTTTAAAAAAAAAAAACAACTGCCTAGCACAACATGTGGGGGCGATCCTAAAACCGTTATACCTTGGAACTTATATAATGGGGACTATAGACTATAATCTGCCCGTCCAGGCCTTTGCTAAATGAAGAACTAAATGTGCAAGACATTGAACTATGATAAAGAGCTAAATGTGCCAGACATTAAACAATAATAAAGAGCTAATTGTCGGATGTTTGATTTCGAAAATCTTTTTTCTATTCACGTTTATTATTATTTTTAAAATAATTATTTTCTTTAAGAATTCCATTTTAAAATATTTAAGTACGAAATGTTCGGTTGCCAGAGAAGCCTTACGTTCTCCTCCTAGCTAATACTAAAATACAGAGTCCTGGCAATGGTGTCAATATTGAAATAATTTCTTAGGGTACACAGCTTTTTAAATGTGGATTTAATGAATAAAAGTAAGATAACATGAACATACCAGGGTCCCCTGGCTTTCCATACTCAACAAAGGGAGGAAATTGTACACCTGTGTGGCTTTTGGTTTTGTCCACGGTGACAACATCGTCATTATCTCTCTTGTCATCAAAATCTATCTGATTAAAAGTATCTCTCTTGTCCACCTCGGATTCATTTAGCGTCGCGAATGTCCGAATTCCGCCATTTCTCCCGGTCGAATTGACGTCACGCCCGGGTAAAAGATAACCGCCAGCATTCAACTCGGACACGTGCTCAAGCAGAATCAATGCTCCGATTACAGAGCACACAGCAATCACCACACAGCACAGCTTGTGTTTCGTCCTTCTGAACATGGTGCACTCCGGTGTCATTCCAAGCGACCGAACACGGCGAACTGAATCGAACGCCCTTTTGAATACTCTTAAAACATTTATTAGTTTAAAGAATTGAGCTCAATCGTCTTGATACGAGCAGCCTATTAGCCGTAAAAAAAAAAGGACAAGAATTTGTTTGAAAAGATCACTCAGAATGTATGAGTTCTTTCAACTAAAATTATAATATAATAACAATTCACCGGATGTACCACATCGTTTCGATTTCCTCACCAAGAGAAGGAGCTCAAAAAAAAAAAAAAAACTTAGTTCGAACACGACTGCTTATTTTGGAGTCGAATCTCTTATTGACACGGTGGGTGCGGGGGGGGGG